TGTGTGTGTGTGTGTGTGTAGTATAAGCTACCCAGTTTATGCTATTTTGTTATAGCAGCCCAAAAGGACTAAACAGTTGGTTTTTGATTTTTAAACATTACCATATATTTTTAGTCCCTCTGTTGGTTTGAAGTTTATTCCTGCCTTTATTTGCTTGGTGAATACCTTCTCATCATTAAAGGCATTACCTGTGTCTGTCTTCTAAATGCTGTCCCTTCCCCTTTACTAACCAAGCAGAGCTGTTCACCAGTTCCATTGTTCCACACGGTACCTTCCATAAACCACATCTACGGCACTTACTACCCTGCAAGGCAAATGTTACGTACACATCTTTTTCTTTCACTAGGTGGAGACATATATAATAACAGACAAAATGTCTAATTCATTTTTGTCAGTCTTAATACAGACTTTTTAGGATAAGGCATTCAATAAATGTTTGTTAATAAACAATTGAGAGTACTTTTAAAAAATCTTTATTGAGGCACAAATGAAAAAAAATTGTATATGTTTAAGGTTCACAACTTGATGTTTTGATATACATTTACATTGTGGAATGATTGCCACTATCAAGCTAAATTAAGGTATCTGCCATCTCACAGAGTTACATTTTTTTCAAGTGAGAACATGTAAGATCCTAGCAAATTTAAAGGTATGCAACATAGTAATTTAAATACAGTCACAGCACTGTACATTATGTCCCCAGGAATTACTCATCTTGCATAATTGAAACTTGGGGCCTTTTTATCACCATCTTCCCAGTTCCTGCCAATTACCATTGTACTCTCTGCTTCTACGAATTCAATATTTTTAGATTCCACATATGCGTGAGATCATGCCATATTTGCCTTTCTGTGCTTGGTGTATTTCACTTAGCATAGTGTCCTCCAGGCTCATCTATGTTGTTGTGAATGACAGAATTTCCTTATTTTTTAAGAATGAATAATATTTTATTATTATATTAGAATAATATTTTATATCTAATAATATATGTACGTGGTGTATACACACACACAAAATACACACACAGACACAGACACACATCACATGTTTTTTCTTCATTCATCAGTTGACACACACTTAGATTGATTCCACATCATGGCTATTGTGAATAACGCTATGATGAATGTGTAGTATAGATATCTCTTCAACATACTGATTTCATTTCCTGCGAGCATGTACCCAGAGGTAGAATTGCTATATCATATGGTAGTTTTATTTTAATGTTTTTAAAGAAATTATTATTATTTTGAGAGGCAGTCTCACTCTGTCACCCAGCCGGAGTGCAGTGGCACAATCTTGGCTCACTACAACCTCTGCCTCCCAGCTTCAAGTGATTCTCCTGCCTCAG